ATAAAGTATAAGCAAAATACTAGAAGTTACTATCGCAAGCAAACTGCTGCCATCATGGCGTTCTAAGTTGCCGCGAACGGCCTATATTCTTCACCGCAATTCACCGCCTAATAAACTATTTCACCGCATAAGATAAGCGCGTCACAACAATCTACTATTGTCTTTAATTTCACAAGAATTTCAGATCGTCCCTGGTGGCTTAGTGGTAGGTCGTTTGGCCTATTTCGATAAACGTTTGAGTTCAAATCCAGTTGAACTCATATTTTGTAGCGGACTCAAAATATTGTCCCAAGATAATTTAATGAGCTTACTTTCCCCATTGAAGACACATATGTTTATCTTGATATTTATATAGATGATTTCGTGTCTGATGAAATCGGGTGTAAAGGCACCGGCTCATTTCACCGGCTCATTTCACCGGCATTTCACCGGCTCTATTTGCTCATCGTCCACCAAACGTTGACAACCTCACAACAAGAGTTTTACCGTCGTAAATGATAAATATATAGATTGTTTAATAATTCACTTTTTGCAGTACAAATACTGAATTGGTAAGCGATTACAATATAAATAAGACTGAATACAAATTATGTTACATTTAAAAAATTACAACCTATGCTATGGCTTACTAAGAAGATTATTAATATTAAAACTAACACTAATTTGTTGAATTACGATTATTTATGTCTAAACAACTAGCGATGACATACGAATTCTTAAAACGTTCAGTATAGAATTTCGGAACATGTATCTTCTTGTTGTTTCGTAATTGGTAATTTAATGAAGTATCTATTTTAGGGATTAAATTATGAAGTTTATGGTTCGGTTTATTTAAAATTTGATTAAAAATTTATTGCAGGCAATTTGCCTTCTAGCGTACAATGACTCCATCCCAGCTTCCATCAATGCATCTTCGTAATGTAAGTTCGGATATACAATTCGAAGAACCCGTTTTTGTACTCGTTCAATTTCATCACTCAAGTATTTAGGTAAAGAGTAGTGGAAACAGTGGAAGCGTATTCCAGAATGGGGCGGATACATACGGTATAGAATTGTAAAACATCTTGAATTGCGACTTTTGCTCGTTTCAGCTGCACTAAAAGGTAAATCCTTTTGGAACTTTTTGTCACTATGTTATTGACATGACTATTCCACTTCAAATTGTTCGCGATAGTAAGACCCAGTAATTTTGCTTCTTCCACCACTTGTAAGGGTTTACCATTAATTTTAATAGGAGGAAAGGGATTTCTATTTTTCGCAAACTCTATCCGCCATTCTTTGCATTTGTTTTCATTCAATCTGAAAAGGTTTGACTCGGACAACTCTTCAATTTCGGACACTGCATGTTGGAGCATAACAGACGGAGATAGTAACGAAGAGCATAACAAACGATATAACAAAGAGCATAACAAACGGTAATAGTTCGCACGTCTTTTTTAACTCATTTTCAGAAGGATGTAAATATTTATAGTTTAAATGTCTACGTCGTGAATCTTAAGTGGAGGTTTATTTATTTAGGACGACGTCCTAGTCCCAGTCCTCCGCTTGGCCCTGACGTCCTAGCTGACGTCGACGTCGTAGATCTTAAGCTATCCAATAAGTAAGTCAAAAACTCCCAAACCGGTCCTGAAATAATTCTTGGTACCATGCACTAGACCATGAGGACTCTTGGTGCAATGGTTATATTTTTTATGTTAGTAAGTCAAGTTAGTTAGTAAGTAAGTCTTCGAGTTGAGCCTGGCTCGAAGAGATCCAATCAGTAAGTACATCCAATCAGTAAGTACAAGTCAAGTTAGTAAGTATGACTTGTATGCATGGCGTCTCATAAACACGATCATATATACATATATATGCTTGTTTAAGCGTGTTTATGAAAATCTCGTATTTTGGTGGCTCATGAGCACGCTCATGCATATATGCTTGTTTCACGTCTTTTTCGATTACGGACTGTCTTGTTATGCAAGAATTAGGCATCGTCAAAAAGCCTATTAAACGTAGATTCTAAAAATACAATTTTCAGATGGGCGCAAATTCAGATTTTTGCTACAAGGGGCCTTGAAATTCAATAGAACATCAAATTCGAAAGAGCATAATATTAACTTTTAGCGTGCTTATGAAAATACCGTATTTTGGAGTCTCATGAGCACGCTCATTTACGCTTCTTTCATGTCTTTTTCGATGCAGACGGACTCCCTTGTTATGCAAGAATGACTGAGCCATCGACAGAAAGCCTATTCACCGTAGATTCCAATAATACAATTTTCAGACCGTGGTAAATTCAAGTTCTTGCCGTTTCTGAATTTCAATAGAACAGAGCATAATATTAACTTTTAGCGTGCTTATGAGAATCCCGGGTATATTTTGGAGTGTCAAACGCACGATTATATATGTTTCTTTTAGTGTGCTTATAAGAATCACGTATTTACTATACAATGTATTATCAAAATATAATTTGGAGACTTTTGGAAAAAATGATGGCAAAAAAAGTAAAAAAAAACAAGACTAACAAGTTACGAGACTTTTACCTGGGAATGGTCTACAACTTTCGCTCATGATGGCCACGGTGTTTACCACTATACCATGATGTCAACGATGAACTAGGTAAAAAAAATACAATAGTCAAACTTAAATATTCTATTTCCCGTTGTACTAGCTGTATGTAGATTTTTTGTATTTCACCCTACATAAGATTCTCTTCATCGTTATACATCGTTGTTCATGCCCTCGTCATCGTTGGTCAAGTCGACTCAAAATTGTCCAAATATACAAAATATTATCAAAATATGAGTATTAAGCTGTTATGTGGAGCTATTTGAAGACTTTTGGAAAAAATAATGAAAAAAAAAAGTTTAAAAAAAATTATACGAAAAGTTACGAGACTTTTACCTGGGAATGGTCCACAACTTTCGCCGAAGATGGCCACGATGTTTACCGCTATACCAGGATGTCAACGATGAAACAGGTAACAAATTACAGCACTTCAATGTTGTGTTTATTGCTGTACTGTAGATAGTATATTCACCCCGCATAAGAATTCTCTACATCGCGTCGTTCAGTTAAATCGATTCAAAATTGTCTAAATATACAAAGTATTATCAAAATATGATTATTAAGCTGTCATGAAGAGCGACTTGGAGACTAAATAACGGCAAAAAGAAATAAAGAAAAAATTATACGCAAAGTTATGAGACTTTTAGCTGGGAATGCTCCACAACTTTCGCTCATTATGGCCAGGGTGTTTACCACTATACCAGGATGTCAACGATGAAACAGGTAACAAATTACAATAGTGAATACTTAAATATTCTATTTCCCGTTGTACTAGCTGTTTGTAGATTTTTTGGATTTCACCCTACATAAGATTCTCTTCATCGCTATACATCGTTGTTCACGCCCTCGTCATCGTTGGTCAAATCGACTCAAAATTGTCCAAATATACAAAATATTATCAAAATATGAGCATTAAGCTGTTACGAGGAGCAATTTGAAGACTTTTGGAAAAAATAATGGAAAAAAAGTAAAAAAAAACAATACGAAAAGTTAAGACACTTTTACCTGGGAATGGTCCACAACTTTCGCCCAAGATGGCCACGATGTTTACCACTATACCATAATGTCAACGATGGAACAGGTAACAAATTACAGCACTTCAATATAGTGTTTATTGCTGTACTGTAGATGGTATATTTCGATTTCACCCGCATAAGAATTCTCTACATCGCGTCGTTCAGTTAAATCGATTCAAAATTGTCTAAATATACAAAGTATTATCAAAATATGAGTATTAAGCTGTTATGAAGAACGACTTGGAGACTAAAATAACGGCAAAAAGAAATAAAGAAAAAATTATACGAAAAGTTATGAGACTTTTAGTTGGGAATGCTCCACAACTTTCGCTCATGATGGCCACGGTGGTTACCACTATACCATGATGTCAACGATGAAATAGGTAAAAAAAATACAATTGTCAATACTTAAATATTCCATTTCCCGTTGCACTAGCTGTATGTAGATTTTTTGGATTTCACCCTACATAAGATTCTCTTCATCGTTATACATCGTTGTTCATGCCCTCGTCATCGTTGGTCAAATCGACTCAAAATTGTCCAAATATACAAAATATTATCAAACTATGAGTATTAAGTTGTTATGAGGAGCAATTTGAAGACTTTTGGAAAAGATAATGGCAAAAAAAGTAAAAAAAACAACAATACGATGAGTTACGACACTTTTACCTGGGAATGGTCCACAAGACCACAACTTTCGCCCAAGATGGCCACGATGTTTACCACTATACCATGATGTAAACGATGAAACAGGTAACAAATTACAGCACTTCAATATTGTGTTTATTGCTCTACTATAGATAGTAAGTATAGTATATTTCGATTTCACACCGCATAAGAATTCTCTACATCGCGTCGTTCAGTTAAATCGATTCAAAATTGTCTAAATATACAAAATATTATCAAAATATGAGTATTAAGCTGTTATGAAGAGCGACTTGGACACTAAAATAACGGCAAAAAGAAATAAAAAAAAATTATAGGAAAAGTTATGAGACTTTTACCTGAGAATGCTCCCAACTTTCGCTCATTATGGCCACGGTGTTTACCACTATACCATGATGTCAACGATGAAAGAGGTAACAAATTACAGCACTTCAATGTTGTGTTTATTGCTGTACTGTAGACAGTATATTCACCCCGCATAAGAATTCTCTACACCGCGTCGTTCAGTTAAATCGATTCAAAATTGTCTAAATATACAAAGTATTATCAAAATATGATTATTAAGCTGTCATGAAGAGCGACTTGGAGGCTAAAATAATGGCAAAAAGAAATAAAGAAAAAATTATACGAAAAGTTATGAGACTTTTAGCTGGGAATGCTCCACAACTTTCGCTCATTATGGCCACGGTGTTTACCATTATACCATGATGTCAACGATGAAATAGGTAAAAAAATACAATAGTGAATACTTAAATATTCTATTTCCCGTTGTACTAGCTGTATCTAGATTTTTTGGATTTCACCCTACATAAGAGTCTCTTCATCGATATACATCGTGGTTCATGCCCTCGTCATCGTTGGTCAAGTCGACTCAAAATTGTCCAAATATACAAAATATTATCAAAATATGAGTATTAAGCTGTTATGAGGAGCTATTTGAAGACTTTGGGTAAAAATAATGGAAAAAAAAAGTTTAAAAAAAATTATACGAAAAGTTACGAGACTTTTATCGGGGAATGGTCCACAACTTTCGCACATGATGGCCTCGGTGTTTACAACTATACCACGATGTCAACGATGACACTGGTAACAAAGTACAATAGTCAATACTTAAATATTCTATTTTCCGTTGTACTAGCTGTATGTAGATTTTTTGGATTTCACCCTACATAACATTCTCTTCATCGCTATACATCGTGGTTCATGCCCTCGTCATCGTTGGTTAAATCGACTCAAAATTGTCCAAATATGCAAAATATTATCAAAACATGAGTATTACGCTGTTATGAGGAACGATTTGAAGACTTTTGGAAAAAATAATGGAAAAAAAAAATAAAGAAAAAATTATAGGAAAAGTTACGAGACTTTTACCTGGAAATGCTCCGCAACTTTCGTCCAAGATGGCCACGGTGTTTACCACTATACCAAGATGTCAACGATGGAAGCAGATAACAAATTAGGTCATTTCAATATTGTGCTAATTGCTGTACTGTAGATAGTGTTTTTCGATTTCACCCTGCATAAGAATTCTCTTCATTGCGTTGTTCAGTTAAATCGACTCAAAATTGTCTAAAAATAGAAAATATTATCAAAATATTAGTATTAAACAGTTATGAGGAGTAATTTGAAGACTTTTGGGAAGAATAATGGCAAAAAAATAAAGCAAAAATTATACGAAACGTTTCGAAACTTTTACCTGGGAATGGTCCACAACTTTCGCTCATGATGGCCTCGGTGTTTACCACTAGACCATGATGTCAACGATGAAACTGATAACAAAATACAATAGTCAATACCTCAGTATTCTATTTTCCGTTGTACTAGCTGTATGTAGATTTTTTGGATTTCACCCTACATAAGCATAATATTAACTTTCACGTCTTTTTCGACTATAGAGTTGGAAAAACCTGCTTTTTATTTAGGTCTACGGACGTCTAGTGATGCACGAGTAAGGCATCGGCGGAAAGCCTATTGACCGTAGATTCCAAAAATATATTAATGCATACACTGGTTGATCTTTAGACAACCAGGAATCGATCCTGGGATTCACGCAATAGCAACACTTCGTCCTTACCACTAGACCATCTCACCTACACTTGATTTCACTCCTTTTTTATTCTACTTGGCTCTTTCTCGTCTCGGGTGGAATTAATTAACAACGATGCCTGACATTAAAATGCTTTTGACACAACCAGGAATCGATCCTGGAATCGATCGTTATGCACTTGCAAACACTTTGCCTTTACCACTAGACCATTTCGCCTACACTTGCTTTAACTCCTTTTTTTATTCTACTTGGCTAATTTCCGTCACGGGTGGAATTAATTAACAACGACGCCTTACATTACAATGCTTTTGACACAACCAGGAATCGATCTGGCTTTACGCACTTGCAAACACTTTGCCTTTACCACTAGACCATTTCGCCTACACTTGCTTTAACCCCTTTTTTTATTCTACTTGGCTAATTTTCGTCTCGGGTGGAATTAATTAACAACGACGCCTTACATTAAAATGCTTTTGACACAACCAGGAATCGATCCTGGCATTACGCACTTGCAACACTTTGCCTTTACCACCATACCATCTCGCCTACACCTGCTTTTGCTCCTTTTTTATTCTACTTGGCCGCTAATTTTCGTATGGGGTGGAATTAATTAACAACGATGCCTGACATTAAAATGCTTTTGACACAACCAGGAATCGATCCTGGCTTTACGCACTTGCAACACTTTGCCTTTACCACTAGACCATCTCGCCTATAGATTCTAAAAATACAATTTGCAGACCGGCCTAAATTCACGTTTCCGCTACAGGGACCTTGAAATTCAATAGAACATCAGATTCGAAACGGCCAAACCCTAACCCGCACAACCTCGTACCCAGGGCATTTTGCTTCCGGTCAGCGAAAATGGCCCTGGCATCGGCCGGTCACATGACCTCAAAATCTCCAGTATTTGGGGTGTTCAATTATGATAATTTTGCGTATAAGTACGTATATAGAATAATGATATACATTGTAATTACTGACAGGAGTAAACAAACTCAATGCTGCGTATATATAATCAAAGGGAAAGCAACGAAATAAGTGAACTTTATTCGGTTTTCGTTGTTTACACCTCATTCAGCAACATAGCCCGATCAATTCTTGCTCAATTCTTAATGAACAACCAAACAAAACAAAACCGCTTCAGCGTTTGCCGTTTGTTTTATATAAATCGTGTTATGAGCAAATATATTCGTATCACAATCTTTGACTATAAGTATAACGCTGTACGTTTCTTGAAATCGACGTATAAACAACGCATGTGAGAAATGTATGTTGAAACGAATCAAATACTCGTCTATACAAATGTACAAAGACTTAATTTTAATTTACTCAATACTTTAGTCCTTCGAGAACTAATGATAAATTTGTCACTCCACTCTCGTTTCACCAAAATAATAATTATTTCCCCCGTATATTGAATAATTATATTCAAAATCATTGACCAATCAGATTGCAAAACAGACCAGCCGATGCCAGGGCCTTTTTCGCTGACCATCCGACCGAGGAAGCAAAAAGCCCTGGGTACGAGGTTGTAACCCGCACTTATAAAATATTAACTTTCACGTCTTTTTCGATTACACAGCTGGATAAAACTGCTTTTTATCTCCACGTCCGGCCTAGTAATGCACGAATGAGGCATCGACAGAAGGCTTATTGATAGTAGATTCCAGAAATACAATTTTCCGGCTAGCCCAAATTCAAGTCTCTGCTACAAGGGCCTTGTAATTCGATAGAACATCAGGTTCGAAACCGCATAATATTAACTTTCACGTCTTTTTCGATTATGCACCTGGAATAACCTGCTTCTTATCTTCATGAACTGTTTAGTGATACACGTATAAGGCATCGATAGAAAGCTTATGGACCGTAGATTTCATAAATGCAATTTTCAGACCGTGACAAATTCTAGTTTCTGCTGCAGAGGCCTTGAAATTCAATAGACGCAAGGTTTGAAACCGCATAATATTAACTTTCACGTCTTTTTCGATTATGCACCTAGAATAACCTGCTTTGTATCTTCATGGACTGTCTTTTGATGCACGAGTATAAGGCATCGACAGAAAGCCTATGGACCGTAGATTCTAAAAATACAATATTCAGACCGGTGTAAATTCACGTTTCCGCTACAGGGACCTTGAAATTCAATAGAACATCAGATTCGAAACAGCCAAACCCTAACCCTCACTTATAAAATATTAACTTTCACGTCTTTTTCGATTACACAGCTGGAAAAACTGGTTTTTATTTCCACGTCCGGCCTAGTGATGCACGAATGAGGGATTGACAGAAGGCTTATTAATAGTAGATTCCAGAAATACAATTTTCCGGCTAGCCCAAATTCAAGTCTCTGCTACAAGGGCCTTGTAATTCGATAGAACATCAGGTTCGAAACCGCATAATATTAACTTTCACGTCTTTTTCGATTATGCGCCTGGAATAACCTGCTTCTTATCTTCATGAACTGTTTAGTGATACACGTATAAGGCATCGATAGAAAGCTTATGGACCGTAGATTTCATAAATGCAATTTTCAGACCGTGTCAAATTCTAGTTTCTGCTGCAGAGGCCTTGAAATTCAATAGAACGCAAGGTTTGAAACCGCATAATATTAACTTTCACGTCTTTTTCGATTATACACCTGAAATAACCTGCTTTTTATCTTCATAGACTGTCTAGTGATACACGAGTAAGTCATCGATAGAAAGCTTATACGCCGTAGATTCCAGAAATGCGATTTTCAGGCCGTGGTAAATTCATGTCTCTGGTACAGGGGCCTTGAAATTCAATAGAACACAAGGTTCGAAACAGCATAATATTAACTTTCAGGTCTTTTTCGATTATGCACCTGGAAAAAGCTGCTTTTTGTCTCCACTTACGGCCTAGTGATACAAGAATAAGGCATCGATAGAAAGCTCATGGACCGTCGATTCCAGAGATACAATTGTCAGGCTGGCCCAAATTCAAATCTCTGCTACAAGGGCCTTGAAATTTGATAGAACATAAGGTTCGAAACAGCATAATATTAACTTTGACGTCTTTTTCGATTACACAGTTGGAAAAACCTGCTTTTTAGGTCAATGGACGTCTAGTGATGCACGAAAAAGGCATGGAGATTGCTAGATAATATACTTCAAAATAAGGTTTCCGTTTTTATGTCAATTTTTTAAATAAGTAAGGGTTAGGTTAGGATTGGGGTTAGGTTAGGTTTAGGGCTGTTTCGAACCGGATGTTCTATAGAATTTCAAGGCCCCTGTAGCGGAAACGTGAATTTACGCCAGTTTGAAATTTGTATTTTTGGAATCTACGGTCCACAGGCTTTCTGCCGATGCCTTATTCGTGCATCACTAGACGTACGTAGGCCTAAAAAGCAGGGTTTTCCAGTTGTGTAACCAAAAAAACGTGAAAGTTAATATTATGCTGTTTCAAACCTTATGTTCTATCAAATTTTAAGGCCCTTGTAGCAGAGATTTGAATTTGCGCCAGCCTGAAAATTGCATTTCTGGAATCTACAGTCAATAAGCTTTCTTTCGCTGCCTTACTTGTACATCACTAGGCCATATGTGGAGATAAAAAGCAGGTGTTTCCAGCTGTGTAATCGAAAAAGGCGTGACAGTTAATATTATGCTATTTCGAACCTTATGTCCTATTGAATTTGAAGGCTCCTGTAGAAGAAACTTGAATTTGGGCCAGTCTGAAAATTGTATTTTTGGAATTCTACGGTCCTATGCCTTTTGTCGATGCCTGTTTCGTGCGTTATTAGACTTCCGTGGAGATAAAAAAAAACAGGTTTTTACAGCTGCATGTCTAATCGAACAAGACGTGACGGTATGATTTCGACACAGCCAGGAATCGAACCTAGCTTCTCACACGTGCAACACTTCGTTCTTACCGTTAGACCACATCGCCTACACTTGCATTAACTCCTTTTTTATTCTACTTAACTCTTTCTCGTCTCGGGTGGAATTAATTACAAACAATGCCTGACATTAAAAGAGTTTTGAATACAGCAGGAATCGAACCTGGCTTAGCACACTTGCAACACTTCGTCCTTACCACTAGACCATCTCGTCTACACATGCTTTAACTTCTTTTTTATTCTACTTAACTCTTTCTTGTCTCGGGTGGAATTAATTAAAATAGTTTCGACTACAGCAGGGATCGACCCGTACTTCGTCCTCATGCAACACCAGGAGACTACCACTCGACTAGCAGATCTATTCCGTGGTGGTAACTATACTTATATCTACATAATCCCTCACCACCAAATTTTATTTAAAAAAAATTAAGTCGCCAAAAATTCATGGCCTGTGCTTTTACTTTTTTTGCACGCAAATGTAGCTCCACTTTAAGTGTCAAAAAATGGACGAACTTTTCTTTTTCTCCATTTCCCCTCTTTTTCAACTTTTATGCCAATCTTTGCACCATTTTTCAAATCATAAAACTGCGGAACTCTTACGAAAACGTAAAATGCTAGCCTTCACTTGCTTTGCCTATATTTCAAAAAGCGGTATACAGTGGCGACGTGGGGTGGGGGGGACAAGGTGGGCAAAGAGCCCCATCCCCCCCAAAAAAAAAAAAAAAATTGTTAGTCACCAAGTGCGACTAAAGCGACAAGGTTTTGTCGTTATTGGAAAATGTATGGCTTATAAGTTCGCATTACTCATTAGTGAATGCGCGTATACATGAAACTGTTTTTTTACAGTTTCCATATTACTTTGTAAATCTCTGAATGGTAAAACTTGTCAATACTCCAATAATACGTTTCATAAAAGGCAAAAAAGCTTTAGTTTTGCAGAGTTAAATTCTCAAACGTGTAAGGCAATAATAAGATGAAAGTATCACGAAATTATTTGAATAAACCACATCACATATGTGAGGGGCGAATATCCTAAGGGGGCGGGGGGTGCGATATTCCTAGGGTATTTGCCCCCCTTTTGAGAGGGGCGAATCTCGTGGGGGGGGGGAAGTCCTGTGACAGAGGCATGAGCAAATAGCAGAACCTTTTTAAAAATTATATCTTGCTCCCCAAAATATGGGTTTGCCCCTCAAATGCCCCCCCCCCAAATTCTGAAGCCTGGCGCAGTTGCGCCCCCCTGGTGAAAAAATCCTGTGTACGGCCCTGCGATGGGCAGTTTATCTAAACTTTAACTGAAGGTAGCTTTTCAGGTTTTCCATTTCAATGAAATAGGTGGAGTAAACTGAAACTACCTTTCGTTTTGCAAAGTAAGACCTTTGTATGACTGGTACTCTCAGTGATACTCGCACACGTGAACGAACCATCAGTGAACCGAGCTCTCAAGTTTCGCGCCAACGAGCGAAGACAATTTTCAAACTCAAAAATTAATCCAAGAAGTTGAAAAACCCTCCCTATCGATACTAAAACAAAAGATAAACTGAACGGACTTCGATGGAGTTAGTGTCAAGTGCAAAATGTACTTTTTTGCGACCTAAATGCGAGCATTTCTTTGACATGTGTACAAAGTATCGAAAAATCTGTGCTAAATATTTAGTTTCATACTTTCATATAGTCAGCTATATTTCCAAAGATATACGTTAAAATAGAAGCACTAGAACCGAGGACTTGTCCTCATACATAAAAAAAATTAAAAATATCTTTAACGGCATTTTAAAAATGATTTCTGGACTCAATTCAGTCATAAATTTCTACAAATGTTGGCATGAACACAAATGTTTTCGGCAAGTACAATTTGTTGCTGCAGGTGTCGAAAAAACCTTTTTTTGAAGCAGGTTTTTATGCTAAAATGGTCAGGAAAATAAATAGTTTTAATCACTGTACCTTTTTGTTGTCTTGTTGAGTAGAAAAGCATCTATTCCATAAAAAATGAAGGCTTTTTATCGTCTTTTTTTATTGCTGGGAGCGAACCTTTCTTCGCGGGTTCGGATTCCCGCCTTCCGAATTAAAGCAACAAACACAGCTGATCTCAAATCTAGTTCGAACACTGGAGTTTTAGGGGCCATTCACAAAGGATGTCCGGCCAAATGATGGATTTTCAGACCCTCCCTCCCCCCCCCCTTGTCCGGCATTGTCCGAATTAGTGAACCCCCCCTCCCCTCGGACATCCACCATGCTTCGCAAAAACTCACACAACCTTGTATATGTCAAGAGTAAAAAACTTTTTTTACTTTTAGAACTTTTTTATAACTATAAATGTGAATACAAAAACATATAAATTACTCATTAAAACAAAATCTAGTGTTAACCGCAGAGTCAAAATGCCAATTTCACAATGAGAAGGACTGCTCAAAATAGAGGGAAAAAGAAATTTGTTTTTGAATTTTTTAAAATTTCGGACATCCGGATTGCTAACCCCCCCCCCTCCCCCCCTATGTCCGAGTTTGTCCTGATTTTCCAAACCCCCTCCCCCCCTTGGCTCGGACATCCTTTGTGAATGGCCCCTTAGGAATTTAATTAAGAATCGAGAAAATACATTTATATTTACCCAGGGACGCCGAAACTGGGGCGGGGGCAGGAGGGGCAGCCGCCCCCGTTGCCCTTTACCAGGAGGGGCAAGGGGGGCAAAGGTGCCCTTTCAATTTAAAGGATTGCCTTGGCAAAATAGCGAATTGTCAGAAATGTTAGTGCGATTCTTTTACGAATTTGCTTCAGAAAACGCAAGAAATGCCATCATCGAGCTTCAAGAATAGCACAATCGCCTGGTGGAGAACCCCCTCACACCCCTATCATCCAATAAATAGAAAACATGATTAGACGAAGTTCAACTCCCGATGGTTTGCAAACATCTCTTAGTATATATCAATTCAAAAGTGCCCTTTCACGAAAATCTGCCCCCCTTGCCTTCACATCGTTCCGGCGTCCCTGTATTTACCGTTAAGATCGGTCCTTACTTGAAAACTATTTTATATTATAAAATAATATTAAAATAAGTATATTATTTTGATTCCCGCGGTCTATCATGAGGCACCAAAATACCTTGCAAGATGTATAGAGGACAAATTAGCAATCTATGCATAATATAACTTTTGTAAACAAAGCAAATTTTGTAAAACTTTATAATAATTTTGTATTAAAAGAATTAGTTTTTGCGCTGTATGTGGTTGTTGTACCGAACAGATATTGTTAGGGAGCATCTGGAGGACACTCTAAGGATTTGTGACGTCAGTGCAATGGGTCTATTCTTTCCACTATTAAAAGGAACTACATTAATTGGAAATGTTTGTGACTTCTGCGGTTCTTCACGAGGCATCAAAACACTTTCCAGTCTTAATCATAGCATTCAGATCACAATTAATGACATCCCACTTTGTCCATGTCTATTTAGGTATCAAATTAAGCCATCTATTATCCATCGATTTCCAATATCAATCGATTAATAAATATCGATTGGTATTGATTGCTATCGAGACTCTGCGAATCAGTAGTCTGCGTCGCAGACGGTGAGTGAAATTAACTTACCGTCCCAAAGTTTCACTCACCGTCTGCGACCCAGGCTACGAATCACCGACAGAAAACAGTGTTTGGTATTGTGGATTGGTCGACGTTTAGTCATTGTTCATATTGATGGTACAGGCGATGGTCTGTTGACTTTCAAAGGCAGACGATCTAAGTTCATATTTTCTGTCATTTCCAGGAATACCTCGCATAGTCTCCGCACGCCCGCCATATCAACTTGAGTTGCTCTCAGGGTTGGATCAACCTCTGCCGAGGACAATAAACCATCGACCAAATGTTCTTCAGTCGGGAATAGACATCCAAAAAATATAGTTATAAAATGTTTAGCAGAGCTACGGACTGCAGGGAGGGATTCAACTAGTGAACTAGCTCTAATAAGACTAATTGAATCTTATCAGAGTTAATTGGGTTCAACTACCTGAAAAATACAAACAAAACGTGGACGTTTCGAGCGAAGGTGCTTTATCGGGAAGTTACTGTAGTTGAAGGTCTCTCAATTTTTGGAGCTTTGTAGTGTAGTCTGACTACCTACGCTGGATGTTCGACTTTCCAAAAATGCTGTTAGATCATTGCATGCCATTGGAAATAACTAGCGCGTCATAGTGTAGTCTCAAACCATCTTACTTTAATGAAGAACGAATGAACTTTCTTCTCATGGAAAATAAAGCTTTGACAACTTGTTCGACAACATCAAACGGCGCGTCGATCTTTGGCTTTTGTAATGGTATTATGTGCAACAATGCTGCATCTACCTGGGAAACAAGAAGGGGAAACTGAGTGAATTGACTATGGAAAGAAGAAATTGATTTGTTCTTTGTAATAACTAATCAAAATGGTTCATTACCTTGGGTTCTGGGACAAACACCGTCCTAGGCAAGCGATACGCCCTCTTCACTTCACAGAGATGATGCGTCATGACAGACAAGCGTGAACAATTGGGATGTCCTGGTTCAGCAACGATATTCTAAAAGATCCAAGAAAATAAGCAATTCACAGTCTCAACTGCGCGTCGAATATTTTGACAAGATTCATCGTGAACTTTATTCTGAATTAGGCAAAAGAACAAAGACGGGATATAGTTTCATGTCTCGCTGTTTTGTCAGGTTAGGGGGAAGAAACGCAAGCACATGTAGTGACACCAAAGATAATGTGCAGACGGGCAAAAATTGTCAAGTACTTCGTACTTCGCTGCCTCTCTATTGACTAGAGACTAGTTTACCCACAGGGTAGTGAATGCTGCCTTGGTATAGCATTGTTCCCAAATCTTTAATATTTTAAAGAATAAGAGTAAGAAATATTTGTAATCACCATTCCCCAATTAACCAAAATTTTGATCTCAACAAAGTCTAGACAAAATTCCATCATAGCATGAAAGAGCATCGCAAAATTAGTAATATTCCAAAGTTTCATTGCGAAATGTTGTAAAATGCGGATAATATAGCCTTGCGAAATTTGCAATTTCCAGTCATTTTAGATTACAAACGGGAAATGGTTACCACTTTTCCAAAATTTTGATCTTAACTAGCCTAAACAAAAGTTTCATCACAACTTGAAAGAGCATCACAAAATTAGTAATATTCCAAAGTTCCGTTGCAAAATGTTGTAAAATGCGGATAACATAGCTTTGCGAAGTTTGTAATTTTCAGTCATTTTGTAATTTGTATTACGCACAGAAGTGGTAACCATCTCCCGTTTGTAATCTAAAATGACTGAAAATTGCAAAGTCTAGATTTGTTGAGTTCAAAATTTTGTTTAATCGGGGAATGGTCCGTTGGAATCATCCATAATTTATACACTTGAATGTGCCGTATGATAACTCGGCGCTCGAAGTTTCGTATCGAAAGAGGAACAGCCGAACAGGTACGATGGCTAACAAGAATGAGTGTACTTATCAACTTATCTAACGCGAGGAAAAGATCAAAATGGCAGGTAAGGCTGTGATATCTAGTATATAAAATTGTAGACAATTTGCCTACAAATACGGTGCTAGGTTAAAACGGCCCCGCTTCAATAATCATATGATTTAGACCAGGGGTTAAAGGGCAATGACAATGACATGCAGGTGACATTTAACATGTGTGAGTGTGCGTCTCACTGTTTATACTTTACTTTATACTTTATACTTTATTTAGAAATGGTAAATACATTGCAGCCATGAGCTGAATTGCGTATTATACTTACAATTAAAAATTATTAAAAATTAGAGTTTTGAAATATATCAAAGTATTATAATTAATTAACTAAATTGTCAAAAGTGTCTGTTTATAATAAGCATGCAAAAGTTATTAAGAATATAAAATAGGTAAATGAAGAGTAAAACCTATTCAGTTTTGCTACTCGATGCCATAATAAAACTATTACTAAACCGATTGGTTTTACAAACTGGAACGTCAAAAGATCTAATAGATCTCAGGTAGTGGATGGAGTTATGCCTTGGCGGCAAGAGGTAATGTAGACTGTGATTTCCTCATATTTCAAATGGGGATAAATAATTCCAAATACGCGTTTCTGGACTCGTTCCAAATCTTGACTTAAATACTTGGGTAGGCTGTAGTGTTTATCAAAGAAGGCAAAAATATATACAAGACAACCTCACATGTGGAATCTGTTCACTTGGCGCGCATTCGCTACGTTATATTAATTTATATACCTATGTTATATACACAGATTTATTACTAATAAATCAACACTATATGATAATATATGAGAACTCACAAAGTGCAGTCACCTTTTTATAAATAAACCTTTTTAAAAGCATGTCATTGTTATTGCAGACCAGAGGCAAAAAGCACAGCCACATAGGCCTACCAGATTTATTAAGCAATCGTGAGATTATATACATGGAAAGAATATGGAAATTATGTTAAAAGCACCCCGTATAATGACGAAAGCACCGCGTGTAATGCTCGAACCACTGCGTATAATGGCGAACGCACGGCGTATAATGGCGAAAGCACCACGTATAATGCTTGAACCACTGCGTATAATAGCGAAACCACCGCATATAACGCTCGAACCACTGCGTATCGACAAAATGCCGTTTGATCACTTACGCCAGCTATGGGCTTTCCATAAAAGAAAACCAAAGATGAAAGATGATCACATTGCTTGTTTGCCTTATGCCTGTTCATTAGGCAAGAATAGCCTGCCGGCCCGGAAGCAGTGCATTGTGGTAGGCCGAAATATGCCGAAACGATCGAGATTTCATCTGCTTTATATATATATATATACATATACATAAAGATTAGGATGCTGCCTCGCTCGCTCGCTTCACGCTCGCTCGCTACGGCAGCAACAACACTATATGACTGTAACATCCAGCTCAGTTCTCATCTAAACTGGGTTTAACTGGGATTGTAAACTGGATTTAACTGGGATTGTAAACTGGGATTGTAAACTGAGATTGTAAACTGGGATTGTAAACTGGGATTGTAAACTGGGATTGTAAACTTTGTGGCCAGGTTTCCACTGTACCACATAGCTTTCTGTAGCGACATGAAAAAACACCTATCCGAATATCTTTTAGGAACGCCATTTTCAGAGGAATTATTGCAACAGAGAGATGTTGTTTTGCTCAGCTTCTGGAAGTTGTACATTCCGTATCGGATAGGTGCTTTTTCGCGCCGCTATGGAAAGCTATCAGGTATAGTGTAGCCTGTATCACCAACTTACATCCGCAACTTCTTTTTGAAACACAAGTGACATTGGCACACAACCAAAGGTAAAAGGACCTGCCCGTTACGAGATTGCTTGCAACCACTGTAGAAGCAGCGGGATTGACACATTGAATGGCAAATTTCCAACCAAACGACTACTTGGCAAATCTTTTGAAGAAAAGATATAGAATACCAAAATAAATATTTTTTCTAGTAAAAAGCAATTTTTGATTTGTTTGACTCTGCCAATACATGCTTCCGGAGTGTATGTCGATCACCTTGGCTATTGAGCCTCGTTTGATTGAGATGTTGGGCTTTACATATGTCACATACATGAAAACGAGGCTCTATAGCCAAAATGACGTACTTTCTGGGTGTATTAAACAATACAAGTTTGTTACTAAAACTGGACCCATAGCGGAGTTGCGCTTATAGTGCATGAGCCTCCAGGAAGAACAGTTTAAAACTGATAGAGTTTTTCCAGAATAATAAGTAAGGTTAGTTAAAATGAACAAGAAAATAATTGAAAACCAAAACTTACAATCCTTTTTCCACTCCACCCCTTCAACATTTGGAAAAGCTGCTGGAATGTTAAACTTCATGATATCTTCATTATAAACTTTCATTTTGCCCTCTGAACAGTCAGCTAACATCTAAATACATGGTTGTTGCAACATGAAATCGAATTGCTTTTGGTATTTTCCATCAATGCTCACCGTCATGGATAAAGAATTTAACATTTATAAAGATATAACCACAGCTGGGTTAAATTTTGACCACATGAATCCGTTAATTATTATGAAACCCATCTACAAATTTACTCATAATACCTCAAGTGTCGAATCTACGGTCAATCTCGACAGCTGCAACATGCCTTGCTCCTGCATGTAAAACAGAACATGTCAAAGATCCGGGACCAGAGCCAACTTCACAAACAAAACAATCAAATACATCTGCCTCTCCAGCAATTTTATCTGCAATCAAAGATTTGGAATTCCTGTAGGGGTGGATCGAGGCTCATTTGGCAGGGAGAGGGGTAGGAAGAGTGGGGAGGGGAGAGTAGGATAAGGAGAGTGAAGTGGGGACAGGGTTGCAATAAATGTATCAAAAGCTATGATCGAAAGATGCTCTCTCCTCCGCAGAGGCAATTGGAATAGGCTTCCATGAATCTTACATGAAGTTTCCGAATCTTACATCCATTCATGTAAGCCTTAGCCGTTGCCCCCCGCGCGCGTTTCTCTCCCCAATTGAAACTTCATGTAAGATTCATATGTAAGCCTATTCCATTCATGTAAGCCTTTAACCTGAAGTTCAGGCCCTAATTTGAAATAGGGCCTGACACAAAACCTGTCTAGACCGTGGGACGCCCACATGTTATTTTTGGACACGCATGCAACATGATTGACAAGTGTTGTAGATTTCGTTACACAAAAAATTTATATTCTCATGAACATATCCGCAGAGCATTTTGCTTTTTAATTAAACTTAAAAATTCAAGGTACTTTTATATAATTAAGAATCAGTTTCTCTATTTAACCGAACAGGCGAACAGCAAACAAAGATTTAATTAGGGACGGACCATTTGATTTTTCATGGGGGGGGGCGCATTTTTGAGAGTGCTCGATTTTTTTTTGGACCTCACCGACTCCGCCCGATTTTTTTTTATCGAATCTTGCCGCGTGCACGATATTTTTTTAAAGTTTTACTATAGCGTTAATACAATAATAACCACGTATGGTTATATTCCGGTTGAAGAATGTATTTGAATATACAGCATATAACCACAAAAGAGGAAAGTATAGCAGAAGTGTAACCCACGAAAATTTTAACTCGCTCACGCCATCCTGGCTAGTACAGCCGGAAATTTTTATCAGGTTTTGATAGGTACAAAGTGCCGGTTGTACTGGCCAGGATGGCGTGATTGATGATCGGACGAATCGCTTGTAAAAACGCGGACAAATACTTGCTTGAGTGAGACTTCTGATATACCTTCCTATTCTATGATATAACTATCACAGCCCATTTTATACGTGGCCAATTTTATACTTGGCCCATTTTATACGGGCTATGGTCTACGAAATGTAGACCATAGTCCCAATCAAAATTGGATCAAGTGTATTAAAGTGTGTAACCCATTTTGCATTGGCGTAATGGCATCTATATACAAATTCTCACGGTTCCCAATCGTATCAGTGTTCCCAATACGTATTATAAACTGCGATTTTTATTGAGAATCAGAGAGCGATATTAATGAGCAGGCTACCGTGAATGCAGTGGCGTAGCCAGACTATAATTTTTGGGAGGGCATATATCGAACGCCCAAGGCGTAAGCCTTTTTATGGGGGTCCGGGGGCATTCTTCCCCGGGAAAATTTTGAAATCTGGAGTCCCTCAATGGCGATTTCCCGTGTTTCTGGGGAGAGATTTTGCATAATTCTGAAGATTATTTACTGCAGGAAAGACCTGATTTTTAATGATTTCTCAATAATGTGGATCCTTGATTTGACTCAACAAACTTACTTGGTCGCGTGTGAATAGTTAAATCGAAGTTTTAAAACGCATTTTAACCAATAACCACCATAGGCATTATTTTCTGTAGTTAGATTTAGGAAAGATTAGAACTTTTATAGACAATTTGGTGAACAGATGAGATTGGTAGTCACATGGGTAGTCATCGTCCCCCCCCCCCTAATTTCTACCCGGATCTCATCTTTTTACAAGGGCAGTCCATCAGCCTATTTGGGGGGGGCTGAGCCCCCCCCCCTTGTCTATGCGACTACGCCACTGCGTGAATGGTCAATATTTGATCGTGTGAAATGCTTGATTTTACTGTCATGATCTGTGATTTGTTCTACAGTCGTGAGGCGTGATTGTCGATCAAAAAATGCTCCGTGAAATGGGAATTAAGGATGTCTGTTTCGTGAAATGTGATTTTGATTTGTTTATTCCGATCTATTTTATAATAGTGATAATGGACATAATACGCGATAATAATTTATATGATCGATCTCACTCGATTGCACAAGAGTAGAAACTTTGGAGGCCTTTCGGAGATCGTCGGACGTACTCATCACTCAAACTTGTAAGTAGTTTTTAACTGCCAGGCAGAGAAGAGAATTTAAAGCGTAGTATACTGTACCATGCATTAAACATAATCTTAAAAGGGAAACTGAATTTTTCTTTCAATATAGAGTATTGCTAATTTAGAATTTTTTTGTGCTCGATATTTTTTTTTGCTGCTGTTAGTGATGTTCGATATTTCTTTCTTCCATTCGAGACATGCTCGATATTTTTTTTCGGATTTGCGCCCCCCCCCCATGAAAAATCAAATGGTCCGTCCCTTAGTCAGTTCTGTGCACGGCTTGACTGCAAAGCTTTCTCAAGGTCTCAACTTGCTGGACGCGGATATACTCTAACGACAACGGGCTAATAACAGCAACAATTAATTTCTCAATCATACCACGAAGATGGCGATGTAGCTCAGAAAACAATTACGCCGGTAGGACCTGATATTAAAAATAAGACTTTTGCCGGCAAAGCAAGTTGGCAGAATATCTTGGCTGTCAACAACAAGCTTTCGAATACATGACTAGTTTGGCTGTTCTTTCAGCGTCGTGTGTGTCCAAATTGGTCAAAGATTTTGATGAAGCCTTTTCAAAATACTGTTTGTTTGATTTATTTTCTGCCATAAAGCATAAAAGAAAAGAAATTCGAAGAAATCGATAATGGAATTTGTTACGTGCGTTTGACCTTTATATTAATTCTCGCCTTGACCGAGCTATTTTTAAAACTGTTGTTTATGTGAACTTGCAACCAATCAAAATCCTTCATGATGCTGATCAACCAATCACATTTCCCGTCCACCAGGTGGACGGGAATCCCACACTTTAGATAGGTTTTGTGTCAGGCCCTATTCTGTGATAGGGCCTGAACTTCAGGTTAGTAAGCCTTAGCCTATTCCAATTGCCTCTGTGGAGGAGAGAGCGAAAGATGCATGCATATATAAATCACTGTATTTTAATTGACACATAATCACCATAATTGTCACCATAATTTCCCACAATGCAGTAACCAGAACTGTCGTACACAACAATTAAAATACAGCAAGTGGCAACAGAAAATAGTAGGAAAGTTAACAGTAGGAAAGTAAGTTGATCATTTACACATCATTACATACAGTAATGACGCTGACTGAACAGATGACAATGATGACATATAGCAAGGTTGAAAATATTAAAAGATACAAACTGGGTTTACATACACCAAACAAGCATAAATAATGATATACATACCAGTGATATTTTGATCAAGTATGAAATTCTGGCTGAGTTGTTTCTTTGCCCGCACGCCATAAATCCTCAATAAATCCGAGACTTTTGGCAGTGGTGGTAGAACTACCCTCCTAGACATTACTGCTCCACTATAATGCTGGCATTATAACTGCCAAAGATGAAAAAATAACAAACTTTTACAAAATAACTTTTGAAAATAAATTCTGTACGGTTTGATATAACGAGATATATTATATCTAAACACATACCAACAATATCTTACAAAAATATTAGCGTGCGTCATGATCCATTACTGCACTTCAATATCCTCATATTACCCATAATGAATAACAGGGGGGAGGGCTCAGCTCCTCCAAGTCAACAGGAAATTTTAACAAGGGGCTCAGCACCCCAGAGCCCCCTTCCTCCCATCCACCACATCACCGGATAAGTTTGGCTCCGGGGAATTTTAAAGCACATTTTCACATGGCTATCATAGCACTGGGCCGTATGCAAATCAATCCTTGCCCGTCCCGATTACTATAAATTACACCACGCTTGCCCGGATTTCGGAGTCAAATAAAGCTAGGCTTGTCACTTAGAAAATTTTTGGCTGATCGAAAAAAATTTTTCGTCATAGATCAACTTAGAAAGGTTCAAAACGCATATTAACGGAGATAGGTTTGGCTCAGGGAAATTTTAAAGCACATTTTCACATGGATATCATACCACTGAGCCGTATGCAAATCAATCCTTGCCCGTCCCGATTACTATAAATTACACTACGCCTGCCCGTCCATTAATATAAATTACACTACGCTTGCCCGTTGCCCGGATTTCTGAGTCAAATAAATTTTTGGCTGACCGAAAAAAATTTTTCGTCATAGACCAACTTAGAAAGGTTCAAAACGCATATTAACGCAGATAGGTTTGGCTCAGGGGAATTTTAAAGCACATTTTCACATGGCTATCATAGCACTGAGCCGTATGCAAATCAATCCTTGCCCGTCTCGATTACTATAAATTACACTACGCTTGCCCGTCCATTAATATAAATTACACTACGCTTGCCCGTTGCCCGGATTTCTGAGTCAAATAATTTTTTGGCTGACCGAAAAATTTTTTTCGTCATAGACCAACTTAGAAAGGTTCAAAACGCATATTAACGGAGATAGGTTTGGCTCAGGGCAATTTTAAAGCACATTTCACATGGCTACCATAGCACTGAGCCGTATGCAAATCAATCCTTGCCCGTCCAGATTACTATAAATTACACTACGCTTGCCCGGACTTCGAAGTCAAATAAAGCTAGGCTTGTCACTTAGAAAATTTTTGGCTGATCGAAAAAAATTTTTCGTCATAGATCAACTTAGAAAGGTTCAAAACGCATATTAACGGAGATAGGTTTGGCTCAGGGAAATTTTAAAGCACATTTTCACATGGCTATCATAGCACTGAGCCGTATGCAAATCAATCCTTGCCCGTCCCGATTACTATAAATTACACTACGCTTGCCCGTCCATTAATATAAATTACACTACGCTTGCCCGTTGCCCGGATTTCTGAGTCAAATAATTTTTTGGCTGACCGAAAATTTTTTTTCGTCATAGACCAACT